ATTCATTCATTCATTCATTCATTCATTCATTCATTCATTCATTCATTCATTCATTTTATATAGTTGCCCATCTCACATTTGTGACTCTGGGCAGCTTAGAATTAAAACATAAACAATACCAAATGACACAGAATAAAACAACCATACAAACAATACTTTAAAACAATTAAAAGCAATTAAAACCATGCAATACAATCATCAGGAGAGTACAATAATTCACAAAACATACAACCATTTTATGGACAATACACCACTCCTTGATTCCCAGGCCAGATGGCAAAGCCAGATCTTCAGGCCCTTTCGGAAGGCCATCAAGGTTGGAGTCAGCCTAACCTCAGAGGGAATTATATTCCATAGGGTGGGTGCAGCAGTAGAAAAGGCCCTCCTCCTGGGTCTCACCAGATGACATTCTCTAGTGGATGGAACCCACAACAAGCCTCTTCTGCTGGACCTGATGGGATGGTAGATGTCACTGGGGAGAGGCAGTCCCTCAAATAACCCAGCCTCATGCCATGTAGGACTTTACAGGTTATCACCAGCACCTTGCATTGGACCTGGAAGCAAACTGGTAACCAATGCAGCTAGTGGAGCAGAGGTGTAACGTGCGCAGTTATATGTGTGCACATAACTGCCTGCACTGCTGCATTTTACTCCAACTGAAGCTTCAAATACTCTTCAAAGGCAGTCCCATGTAGAGCGTGTTACAGTAATCCATATGGGAGGTGACCAGAGCATGAGTGACTGAGTGTAGAGCTTCCTGATCCAGCAATGGGCACAACTGGTACAACTTGATGCTGTGCAAAGGCCCTCCTATCCACAACTGCCACCTGCTCTTTAAGCAAGAGTCGTGAGTTTAGAAGGACCCCCAGACTGCGCACCAGGTCTGTCTGGGGAAATTCAACCCCATCCAGAACCAAAGATGGTAAATTCCTAGATCCAGGTGGCCCCAAAATCCAAAGCCACTCACTCTTGCCAGGGTTGAGCTGAAGCCTGTTGTTCCCCATCCAAACTCCTACAGCCTCCAGATACCGAGACAGGATGTTGGCAGCATCACTTACTTCAACAGGGGCAGAGGTATATAGCATACTGATGACATCTCACCCCATGGCTATGGATGACCTCACCCAGCAGCTTCATGTAGATGCTAAATAGCAGTGGAGAGAGTACCAAACCCTGTGGCACCCCACAATTTAGGGGCCAAAGGTGGGACCTCTCACCCCCAATCAACACTGACTGAAATCAGCCACTGAGGAAGGAAGCTCAATACAGTGCTTCCTTCCCAACCCACATAGTCCCAACCCACACAGCTGGTCCAGAAGGATACCATGGCTGACGGTATTGAAGGCTGCTGAGAGGTCAAGAAGAGCAGGGATGAACACACTACCCCATCTCACTCTCACCAGAGGTCATCAAAAAGCGCAACCAATGTTGTCTCAGTCCCATACCCAGGCCTGAAGCCCGACTGAAAGGGATCCAGATAATCCGCTTCATCCAGGACAATCTGAAGCTGTTGCACAACCACCTTCTCAACAAACTTCCCTAAAAAGGGAAGATTGGATACTGTCAGGCCTAGCCCAAGGAACTCCAGGAGACCATACAGAATCAATCCAGCAAG